TGAGAGTTAAGTAATCCTACCTCAAAGAAGCTTGAAAACCTTGCAAGAAAAATTAAAAGCCTAAGAATTGAATCAAAGCCACCAACTTTGTAAACAAAATGAAGAACACCAACTTTGACATACAACCACCTCTTCTCCTTTTCAAACCAGATTTTGACAACCCCATAATTGGAGAATGCTCACAACTTCTACACCAAAAAGGAAGCCCATGATCTTAGAAATCCTTTTCATTTACAACACTCTACCAAAATCTCAACATAACCCCTTCAACTAAGTTTGAAAAGAAGATAACAATGGAGAAGGAAGAAAAGTGACGAAAGGTTAGTTCTGCAGAATATATTTTGTATAAATCTTTTCTAACAAAATAACAATATAGATATACATTAAGTGACTTATCATCTATATAGGTGTCATGCCCATAATCTAGTCAAAGGTAAAACTAAGTGAAATGACCATAAGGCCCTCAAACAAACACAAAATCCCATTCATGCCATTTGCATGAAAATGTCCACAATGCCCTTAAACAAATACCAAATGCCAAATATGCCATACTTACAACAAAAGACCATAATACCCTCCATGAAATACCAAATGCCAAATATGCCATTAGCATACTAAAAGTACTCAAAGTCTATAATACCCCTCATGAAACAAATAATGACATTTAATTAAATTAAATACATTTGCACATAATCATAATCCAGACAATAAAGATAAAAATGCATAAATGCCAACATGTCCGGAAAATGATAAAAATGCCAGTTCTCACAGGATCATCGATTTTGGAGCCTCTGATTATATGACCAACCTTTCCAATCTTTTTAGCACTTACTCACCATGTTTTGGCCTTGAAAAAATTAGAATTGCAGATAGTAGTTTCTCACCTATTGCAAGAAATGGTTTAATAAAATTATCCGAGAATCTAGATCTTAAATCTGTTTTTCATATCCCTAAACTAGCCTGTAACATTTTGTCTGTGAGTAAACTAACCAAAGAATCTAATTGTCGTGTAATTTTTTGTGATTCTTACAGTGAATTTCAAGACTGGAGCTTGGGGAAGAAGATTGGTAGTGCTAAGATAATAGATGGACTTTACTACTTTGATGATGGCTTCTCCAGTAACAAAAAGGCTCAGGGCCTTAGCAGTGTTAGTTCTAACTCTGTTTATGAACAAATAATGTTTTGGCATTTAAGACTAGGACATCCTAACTTTCTATATCTTAAACATTTGTTTCCTACTTTATTTAAAGGTTTGAATTGTTCATCGTTCTATTGTGAAAGTTGTTACTTATCTGAGAGTCACCGTACTACTTATTTGCCAAAACTTTATACTTCTTCAAAACCATTTTATTTAATACATAGTGATGTGTGGGGACCTTCAAGAGTCACTTCTCTCTTTAGGAAAAAATGGTTTGTTACTTTTATAAATGGTCATACCCGTTTATGTTGGGTTTATTTGATGAATGAAAAGTCTGAGGTTGAAATTTTTTTTAAGAATTTTTACACAATGATTAAAACTCAATTTCAAGCAAATATTAGCATTTTTCACATCGATAATGGAACTGAGTATTTTAATGAAATTTTGGGGAGTTTTTTTAAAAGAAAAGGGTATCTATCATCAGTCTACTTGTGTGGATACCCCTCAACAAAATGGAATTGCCGAAAGAAAAAATAATATTTACTTGAAGTGGCTCGTGGTATAATGTTTTCAATGAATGTTCTAAAATATCTTTAGGGGGAAACTATTTTAATAACTTCGTATTTGATTAACAGAATGCCTAAACGTGTTTTAAAATATGGCACGCCGTTAGAATGTTTCAAAAAAAATTTCCTTTATTAAGGATATACTCGGATTTACCTCTAAAAGTTTTTGGTTGCATAGCTTTTGTTCATATACCCAATAATATTCGGTCCAAACTTGATCCTCAAGCTGAAAAATGTGTTTTCATAGGGTATGCTTCTAATCAAAAGGGATATAAGTGTTATAATCCCCAAATAAGAAAATTTTATGTGACTATGGATGTCTCTTTCTTTGAAAATAAATCATACTTTCACAAAAATTCTCTTTAGGGGGAGAATGAGGTAATGGAAGATTTTTTTTTTTTTTGGGATTTGTCTCATACTCCTTTACCAAATGTGATTGATTACTTCACCTCATCCTACTGTTATTCACAAAATTCAAAGTCAGGAACAATGTGATAAAACCAATGAAAACAATGAAGGCAATCCTAGTCATATAGTATTAAACATTACTGTATCTGAAACAGGGGAATAATCACTACAACCGGGCACAAAAGTTCCCAATACTGAGCCTCTGGTTTATACTTGGAGAATACCTCGTCAAAAGAGTTAAAGTCAGCTTATTCCTCTTGGAAATGATCAATCTCAACCTCCGGGAACTAGACCTCCAGATATCATATGTAGTTTTGTTCCTAACTCATCTACAGTTCATGTTACTTCTCTTAACCAAGAACCATCAAACCTTAATATTCCTATAGTTGTTAGGAAATGTATTTGAATCAAATATCCAAATCCAAAATATCCCATTGTCAAATACATTTCTTATGAAAAACTTTCTCATACTCATAAGGCTTTTACCTCCAAAATCTCACACTTGTTTGTCCCGAGAAATATTCAGGAAGCTCTCGATGATCCGAATTGGAACTTAGCAGTGATGGAAGAGATGAATACTCTTAGAAGAAGTGGTACTTGGGAGATAATTGATTTACATAAAAAGAAAAGAACAGTAGGCTGCAAGTAGGTCTTTACTGTGAAATGTAAAGCTGATGGTATCATAGAGAGGTACAAGGCAAGACTAGTAGCAAAAGGGTTCACCCAGACCTATAAAATTGATTATCAGGAAACTTTTGCTCTTGTAGCCAAGATAAACTCAATCAGAATCTTGTTATCTTTGGCTGTGAATTTCACTTGACCATTACACCAGTTAGATGTAAAAAAATGCCTTTTTAAATGGTGATCTTGAGAAGGATGTCTTTATGAATCAACCACCTGAGTTTGAGGGAAAATTGGGACCTAATAAAGTCTGTAGACTGAAAAAATCTTTATAAGGTCTCAAACAGTCCCCTAGAGCTTGGTTTGAGAGATTTGGGAGAGCTGTGAAGAATTGTGGCTACTATCAAAGCCAAAATGACCATACCATATTCTATAAACACAATAGAGAAGGAAATGTTGCAGTCTTAATTGTCTATGTGAATGATATAGTCTTGATAGGTGATAACAATAAAGAATTAGAGAGACTAAAAAAGAGACTTGCAGCTAACTTTGAGATCAAAGATTTCGGTGTCTTAAAATACTTTATTGGAATGGAATTTGCTAGATCCAAAGAAGGTATATTTGTGAATCAAAGTAAATATGTTCTTGATTTACTTAGTGAGACAAGTCTGCTAGGATGTAAACCAGCCGAGACACCCATTGAGCCCAACCTTAAGGTACAGCCTTCTAAAGATGATGAAGTTTTGAATAGAGAACAGTATCAAAGACTTGTTGGAAGACTGATCTACTTGTCACATATACGTCTAGATATAGTTTTTGCAGTATAGTTAGCCAGTTCATGCATTCACCTGGACGAGAACACTTTGATGCAGTCTATAGAATTCTCTGATATCTAAAGGGGACCCCTGGAAAAGGTATACTGTTAAAAAACAGTGGCATTTACAAGTTGAAGGTTATACTGATGCGGTTGGGCTGGGAGTGCTACTGATAAACGGTCAACTTTTGGCTACTGCACCTTTGTTGGAGGTAACCATGTCACCTGGCGGAGTAAAAAACAGAATGTGGTAGCAAGAAGCAGCGCAGAGGCCGAGTTTAGATCAGTTGCTCATGGAATTTGTGAGGTGTTATGGATTAAGAGACTATTGGAAGAATTAAAGGTCTTTAATCCGTTGCCTATGAAATTGTATTGTGACAATAAAATTGATATTTCGATCGCTCACAATCCAGCGCTCCATGACAGAATAAAACACGTGGAGGTAGACAAACACTTCATCAAGGAAAAGCTCAAAAGCGGATTCATCTGTATGCCGTACATTCCTACTACTGAGCAAGTTACAGATGTGCTTTCAAATGGTCCTACAAGATAGTTCGATAGACTAATTGGCAAGCTGGTTATGGAGGATATCTTCAAACCAATTTGAGAGGCAGTGTTGAAAAAGAAATATTCGGTAGTAGTACTATCAAATATTATTAGCTATAAATATAATATTTGGAGGATATTTACTGTAAATAGAATATTAATCAATGCTGTAAATTAAAAAAATTATTAATTAGACCAACTAACTATTGTAATTAGTATTTTAATTTTGTGCTTAAATTTTTTCTATAAAGAAAACCCATGTAAATTTGTGAATATAATGAGCTAATACAAAAAAAAAAAAATCATTCCATATTTCTTCCCCATTCAAATTTATAAGGAAGATGCTATCTTATAAATCATTCACGAACACAAAGCAATGCTATCTCATGAAGACATCATCAGTTTATCAACCATTAATTTTTGCAACTCTCTCTCTCTCTCTCTCTCTCTCTCTCTTCCTGCCTGTGTTGCAACACTTATATGGAGTACAGGCAGGCTTCTTTGCACTGTCACCATGAAAGATGTTCTTGGTCAATTCACTCATTCAGGTGATTTATATCTATCAAAATTAATCGCATGTAGACAAAATAGCCAACTAGCTCTCTCTCTCTCTCTCACACACACACACAACCCTACACACACAAACACACACACACACACACACACACACAACCCTACCCTAAAGTTCTCACAGATCTAATAAACAAGATAAATAGCACATCACTAAGGACAAAATGGGGGGAAGTTTGAGAGAAAATAAAATGTCTTTGGTTCTTGGGGGTCACACGTTAAACTACAAACATGTGATAGGAGAGTAAAAGGACAAATTGGGAAGAGAAATCAAAAGAAACTCATCACTGACATGTTAGCCAGTACCTTTCTAACTTTTGTCCAAACAATTATAAAAGTTGCTCAGGGAATTCAAACTGCTTCTCCCAGCTTATATACAAAATCCAAAGTAGCAAAAGTGAATAAATGATAATTGCATAAAGAAGATCCAATGTATTAACTGTACCAACACCCCTAATGCTTTCAATAATGGAATCCTATTTCATTTTTCCCCATATTTACAACATAACCCCTCTATCTCTCTCTCTCTACATTTTATTCATACTCATAGCATCATTTTAGTGTTTCTTCTATGGTCTCATCTTCTCATTTTCAAACTTTTTACCTCAAAACTTGATATCAATACATTTCCTCTGTCTCTCTCCATGTATGTATGTATGTGTGCATTTTGTTTTGTTCTCACAGTAGCATTGTCCGCTTAGTTCAGGTTCATGGTTATGTTGTCAAGGACTGTGGTGGAAAGGATGGACAATCAGCTACCACCACTAGTGGAGGGGCCGCCTATGATGGCGGAGCCAAGCCACTCTACCAACCGGTCAATTGAGACACTGGTGGTTGTGTTGGCGGTGATCACCATCGTGGGTGTGATTGCAGGGATCATTGCTCGTCTGTGTGGTGGACGACATTTTGGTGGCAATGGGGAACATGACATAGAAGGATGGGTAGAAAGAAAGTGCCGGAGCTGCATCGATGGCGGTGTTCCGGCTGCGCCGCCACCGGAGCAACCAAAGCCAGCAACAGAGGAAGCAAAGAAGTGAGAACAGATAGAAAGAGATTATAACCTATGAAGTACTATTAACAGGTCACCACGTTCAGTTACTATATTCGGTGTAGGATTTTTTTAGATGTTACTCTGTCTTCCCCTATTTCCTTCCTGAATGAACATTTCTTTTGTGAATTGTTAGTGTGGTTGATATGATAAAGCTTAACTCCTTAGCAATGCATAGAAATTACTTCTTCCTCCTCATTCCTCTCTCTCTCTCTCTCTCTCTCTCTCTCTCTCTCTCTCTCTTTTATTTTATTTTATTTTATTTATTTATTTATTTATTAAGTATGAAAATGGTGATTATTTTATTTTGAAAGGAATAAAACAAAATAAAGAATATTTCGTTTTGTAAGATTTATCTTTTTACTAATTTTCTAACCTTTTTTTGGTGACATTGTTCCAAAACAAATTCATAAGAAAAATAATAAGTCTTTACTTTTTAGGCTGTAGCTGCACAAATTCATTTTTCTTCTCTCTCACTTTTTATTTCTACTTGTTTAGCAGGAAAAGAATTATCACACCTTGAAACATTGATCCAATTTCAATACATCACTCCTCTTAAGATAAAACTCATTTTCCATGTTAGTTCATCTCTCAAATATAATGTCAAAAAAAAAAAAAGGTTACTTCACATTTACAGAATGTAACCGTTGCAATTCCTGAATCCTTTTTTGCTGTAAATTTATCAGGGTCTTTTGGAAACTTAGCCGTTACTAATTCTTCCTTTTCTTTTCTTTTCTTTTCTTTTCTTTTTTAAAAAAAAGGGATTAAAACATGATGCAGCCAACCAGACTATCATGTCTTTTGACTAAAAGGGGGTCTATTAAACAGCATTCCAAAAGGTTTGTATGTAGGGTCTAGTCTTCTAGATGATGAAGCATAAGCATGCCCCGCCTCATCATCTCCTCTTCAATTTAAAAACATTCTTCAAGTCTCTTGTCAACACTACTTCCAAATAATATACAAACACACACAGTATAATATATATATGACCAAGAAGACAAAGATATATGAATCATTACTTGGTGTAATGGATTGACGGACCTAGTAAAGACAATGATGAAACAAGTGAGACTGCAAAATGAATATCAGAAATGATGTCTTTGGTCCAGAATATGCCGCATAAGTATGCTCCACCTCGTCACCCCCTATTGAATTCAAACATTCTTCTATGTCACGAATGCATGCCCCACTGCCCTTTAATTCAAGCATTCTGCTATTTTTGTTCCTGTTAAACATTACATCATTACCTCCCAACAATATATATATGTGTGTGCGCGCGCGCGTTTGAGAGAGAGAGAGAGAGAGAGAGGACAATTGCACGGTGTAACGGTAAAAACTCGTGCCAACAAGTTGAAGACATGGTCAATTTTATAAAATGTTATTCCCTTCAAAAACCTTGCACAGGCATGCTATAACACCACATGTAAGAAGTCTACATTCTCTTACCTTTCCTTCCTTTTTTTTTTTTTGAAAGGAAAATGAAAGGTAACTTATCTTTCCATTGCCAAGTCCAATGCGGAGACTACAAATAATAGAAGGGAGTCTAATCAATCCTTGCATAGGCTACACTATAACCATATAACAAAAACCTTGGATTGCAGGATTGCTATTGACAGACCAACGCATACTAAGATAAGGTATTATACCGTACTTGATTAACAAACTAAAGTATAACAGCCCAATCGACTATCATAATCACAATCAATAATTTAAATTTATCCGTTATCCTCAATCAATCAAACAATTTCATCAATCCAGTTTTTCAAAAACACAAATACCTTTCTCCCACTTCAGCTGCATACATAGATTAGTACAAGTTTCTGAAAGACCATATTTTTATAAAAATTACTTTCCAGATTGGGAGCTTTGTATGTGAGCTCATGTAAACAAAATGCACAAGCACTACTCAATAATAAAAGTCATTACATCTTTAAAAGACATAATATCATACATTTCCTAATTACTTAGAATCCTACTGGCTTTAGCTTTATGTATGGACTTCTGGAATGAAAATAACATATGAAAGTGATCATTCATGCATATTTCTAGATTCCTCCAACTTTATCATCCGTCCAATAGATATTAGGAGCTAACCCTGTTTCACCAGAAGAAAATGGCAAACAAAATGTCCCAAGTTAAAACATATTATATATGCTTCATTCCTAGATGAATAACCACATCTCAAGTGAACTGAAAATCTAACAGAAGTTTCATGCCGCAAAAAAACAAACAAGAGAAAAAATGATCAATAAGTTGAGAATAATATACCTTTTACCAGGCTTAAAATAATCTTGCATGACCCATAATCTCCCATTCCATGGAAAAAGCAAATGAATCAGTAGCCAGTTGAAAGTTGAGGTTAACACAACAAGAGCGAAGCAACTTTTTCTCCACACAGAACAGCTCCAACTCCTCCGTTATTTTTGCACGAGACTCAAGAACAAAATTAACACAACCCCCGTGATAATCAATAAAAACCCAAATATAATGTGGTTGATTTTGATACGATATCAATTTGAACATATATATTTATATGTGTGTGCGTGTGTGTGTGTATTGGTAAATTACTGTGAAGATATATTGACAACCATCAGCATAATCATCCTTGCCTTTATCCCACATGGATAGGACCCCCACATGAATTCTCTTCTTCTGTTCTTTCCTATTATATACCAAGTCTTCTCTTAGATTTAATTTTTTTAGATTTAATTTTTTAAAGCCATTTCTAATTAACTTCATCCCATGTGAGTTTTGACCAGTCACTTTGTTGCTTAGGTTCTAGGCAAACTGCTTTTCCTCTTTTAATAGGAAAAGCATTCATTGGCCGGCCTCTTTGGATTACTATTCATCCCCTACATTGACAATGATTGCAGCAAACACTTTAGTAGCCTGTCGCTTATAACTGAAAACATTATCTTCATCCATAATTAATCTGCCAATGTACAATTTGAGCAGGTCTCAAAAATGTATGTTCATCTGAACTTCTCTTTGTGAGAGAATATGTGCAAACAATTTCTATAAGTTAAACACGACTATGACGTTCACCTGTTTGTTCAGACACTTGAGTTGTGCACAGTAACTGTTTCCACAAATGTAATCATTGGAGCAGTTACATATAGTAAATAGTAATCCAATTTCATTGACCCGTTCACGGACATTACCAACAATCACTCTGCAAAAAGAGAATATAAAATATTTGACAAACAAATTTTCAGCATTTCAGATATCAAATTTATTTTAAGACGAGCATGGGCCATGACGGACAAATTCCCATGAGTGTCATGTTTAATATAATATTGTACATGGTCATGGTTCTTCTAAAGAATGTCTATGTTTTGTAGGATCACAGAATGCACTCTTAAGCCAAGCAAACAAGGAATCATTTACAATGAAAACAAAGAAGGCTTTCATAGTAGACTTGTACACATAATGCATACCGAGAGTTGCTCACATGCAAGGTTTTGTCTAGATTATGTATTTAAGACAAGGACTTCACATGTGAATAGATCCAATTCTGATTAATTTTTTGTTGATTTTAACTTCAAAATTTTTAAAAATTCAATATTTAACTGCTATGAAACTTCCGGTTTATTAATCCCATTTGATCAATCAACTGTTATATGTCAATGTATAAAATAATAAACAATAAAATGATCATGCAGGAAGGTACAGAAAAGTATATTAGAGCAGGTAGACACCATAATTTCGCAGAAAACTTCTTTAGGGAGAAATCACAGGACCTTTACAATTTTGTCACTCTATGCTACAGGTAATATATTTAAATTACTATAGCATTATGGTGACACCATAGGTAAACTGTGTAACTTATTAGATAAAATAGAATAGTCACTATAATTTTTGAATCAATATTTTACTTTATTTTGTAACATTTTATAATTACAAAAATTGTAAATAAATTGTTAAGACTCTGTCTTGTATCAGATATACGACCCATTTACAAACAGGTTACTTGTTACCTATTTAAAAAAGGGTTGTGTTAATGTCAACGGTTTTTGATCTGTTTAATAAACGGGTCGTGCTCGTTTTGACCTATATACTATATAGTAGAATATCCTCATTTTGACATGATACAAACACGGCCCATTAACACGGAGTGCTAGCCCTACTTTTTAGTGGTGATTGCATTCATATATGTACTGATATTGAGAGACATATAAAGGACCACTTGTGCAGTTGCCTAACCTAAAAGCTAGTTGATGCCCCTAGTAAGGCCAGTAACTCCACTTGGAACCAGCAATAATATTTGACACTATGGGTGCACAATAGAACAATTATAATGTCAAATGCAAAACTAGTTATTTAAGCACATCCTAATATAATTTCTTACACACAAGACAAATACATGGACCTTCCCTCCATAAAAGATCAAAACTAATCAAGTGTATTCCTTATATGTCTTCCCGTACATTATACAAATGGTTGGGTAGACAAGGTATAGTTTGGAGAAGGTATATAATTGACCTATTATTCAACATTGTAATTATAGAATACATAAAATTCATATACACGCGTCAAAGAAGGAGATGGAAAATATCACCATATACAATGTTCCACAAAATAAATTGAGGGTGAGGAGACCAAGGTTCAAAGTCTCAAATGAAACAAAGTTATAACTTCGGAAAGCCTTTAGGAATAGGGGTAAGCTGCCAACCATCCACCTCTTCCAGACCCTCCTAAATGCCAGAGCAGTCTCTTATTTTTATTATATATTTGGACAAGATCAGGTGGTGATACTAAAAAAGAGTAAAATATGGTCAGATAAACCCCGTGTAGTGAGGCAATTCAACTGTTCGACCCTAAGATCACTCTTTCAATAGGCTTCCTCACCACACTTACAAAACCAAAAATTCTCCGCCTTCGTTACCTTTCATCTACACCAATTGCCTCAACGAAAGAGCCATATCTGTGTCGGATATCGACACTCTACAGACACGTGTTTTGACACTTCATGTTCGTGTCCATAGCTTAAAAATAAATTTTAATTATTTTGGACACTTGCAAAGTGTCGCAACTTAAAAATAAATGTTAATTATTTTGGACACTTACACGACACTTTGCAGACACTTCTTAACACTTCGCCGACACTTCCCAAACAAACACTGGCTTACACTTTCCGAACACCTCTAAATGAGTTCTAAATAAAACACATCTAAACTAGTCGTGTTAGGCTTGAAAAAACATATAAATACATTCCGAAGCATCCAACTTTTTCATTTAAAATCGCACATATGGTCACAAGAAGCATAGAATAATACTCTTTTTTCATATATATATTTACCCTATAAAAGTGTATTCTATTTATATTTTTTATATACACTTTTTTGCAATAATAATATATACTAGATTTTAATATTTTATAAGCATCATTTCAGTTTTAAGTTGTTGTTTGAAACTTTACAACTGTTAATTTTATTTGTATTTTTTATATACAATTTTTGGTAATAATAATAATATATACTCGGTTTAAATATTTTATAGGTGTCGTTTCAGTTTTAAGTTGTTTGTTTTGAAAGTTCATGACAGTAGAACTTTGCTGGTTAGAACTTATATAATGTCAATTTTACATTCATATTTTCCAAAAATCTGTATATATCTTATATAAATGATGTCTAAGTTGAACTCATGTTGCAAACTATATCTCCATTTCTACTTGTCTATGTAAAAAGATCTTGTCTCATGTTTTTTTCTAATGTTCAAACTACAACTTTGAAACATGAGAGTAATAATTTGGTTCATGTGCATCAGCCTTATTTTTTGGAAGGTATGTTTCTTGCAATGTTTTTAATAAAGAAATCTGTTTCTCCTGTGTTATTAGAATTTTACGTTGTGAGTTTCAGATAATTTTTGATAATACACAATATATATTAGTATTATCCATCTTAAGAAAATAGATAACACTATTGAGTCACAAATGAAGATGAGTTTCTTTAATTTTTTATTATTTCTTACTTTTATTGCACATAAAATTCATATGGCAGTTTTTTTATTTCTTTTTAAAATTTTAAAGTGCTCACATTATAGAAGGAGACGCAATATTAGAGCATGAGAACTTTAAAGTATTAAAACAAAGAAACAATTGTGTAATGTTTATTGTTCTACTATATTTATAATTTTTTAGTTATTTTATGTTGTAAATCCTATGCGAATAAATTATAAATCTTTTATGAATTATTAATTATATATTTTCATTTGCATTTTAAAATTCGTTCTTTTCTATTTCGAAAGTGAACGGTGAATCATTTTTCTCTCATTGCCAATCTTAATGATTGGTACCAATGTTGCATAAATTTTTAATATTCATACACATTTAAACTATTATTTTTTTTTATATTTATAAATCAATAGCTTTATTGGATTTATAAAATTTATATACATTTTAAAGTAGATCTTTAAATTTATCTTTAAATTTAAACATTATTTATTTGTATTTTTATGTTTTAAGAGTTGCCTTTTTAAAATTAGGTCATTGGTGGTCTATTACAACTACTAACTAACTATTATTTAAGAGTTGTGTCTTTTTAGATTTCTTTCTAATGGTTATCAATCAATCATTCTTTCAGAATTAGTATGATTATTTAGAATTTGAAGCAGTTATTTTTAATAAATAATTGTTTTGTGACTTTTCATGTTATAAGAGTCACCAATAATTTGGGTATTAACTGCTATAAGAGTTATGTGTTTTCAAATATCAAGAGTTGTGTGTTTTCAAATATCTTAATATTGAAGAGTGGTGACTTTTAAAAATTTATTCCTAATTAGTATTTAAGTACAATTGTTATTCTTATTTCTTAATAGTTTGATACTAACGACTATTTAAGAGTTGTGCATTCAGAACACCAAATTTGTTACTATTGAGGAGTTGTGCCTTTTATAAATATCTTTTAAATTAATATTTAATCAAATCATTCGTTCCCACATCTCTTAATACAATCTACTATATTTCTTGAAACCTAGGCATTTGGGTGCAAAATTAATCAACCTCTCTCAAGTTTGGTTTTTTTTTTTTTTTAAAGTTTTATTTCCTTTTCTAAAGATAAGTATTAAAAGGATTTTATAAATTTGTAAATTTGACCTACTTATGAATTATATATTTTAAAGAATGGCTTATTATTGTGATATGTTATTTAATCAAAATTTAAATTTTTTTTTTTTTTTAGTTCATCATCAAATCTTATGCTATTATTAGTCAACTAGACCTCCACTTGCAAATCCTCATTGGTTAGGAAAAACATCTCCACTTTAGGTATCATTCTTTATTGCAATTTTCCTTCGCTTGTTCTGTTGCAAATTAATAAATGGATTGTGTTGTTTTAGATGTGTGTAGCATTTTTACTCTTATTCTCCAAAGCTTCATTTTTTTTTTTTTTCATTTTAATTTCTTATTTTTAAGGAAAAATCTCTATATTTTTTTTTTTCCCTTTGTCGCGTATCAACCATAACTCTCTCTCTCTTCAAAGTTTCAATGTTTAATATTCTATATATAATATTTTTAACAATCAAGTGGAGTAACATTGAGTTTGACCTTAGAATCCAAATAGTTGTCCTTTTACTAGATTTTAATGTCAGTGTAATTTTATAAAGTTGATTCTAATATATATATATATCATAATTTTTTATTTTTGAAGGCAATTTTTTTACACTTTTCTTTGATATGTATAAGCAAACAAAAAAAACTTTGTTTTATCTCTTCAAAGTGATTTTTTTAAACTAAATTTTGAAGGTTGTTATGATTTCATATATTTAATACTACCTCCGTCCCTTTTTAATGGTCCATTCTTGATTTTATAACTTTTTAAGGGGACATGTAATTAATGCATTGTCCCCTTTTAAAATTACCAAATTATCCTTTTTAATTTAAATATATATAGTTACAAAGTTTGAAATTTTTTAAAAAGATAAAGGACAATGATGGAAATATAAAGAAAAGATGCTTTGACTATTCAAGGAGGACAACTAATTTGGGACATTTAAAAAGAGAAAAATGGACTACTAATAAGGGACGGAGGGAGTAATAATGTGATATTATATATATATATATATATATAAATAATATTTCATAATGTTTACAAAATTTTATTTACGTGCAAATGCACGTGACTTTTTCTCGTGTATATATATATATATATATATAACATAATTGTAATGACGATGAAGTGAAATAGTAATATATATAATATTTCATAATGTTTACAAAATTTTATTTACGTGCAAATGCACGTGACTTTTTCTCGTGTATATATATATATATAACATAATTGTAATGACGATAAAGTGAAATAGTAATATATAAAACACAACAATCATGTCAATAATCGTATAAATTCCTCTTCTAAATTATGCAAGAGTAGCACTTAGTATAATAATTCGAAATGAATAACAGTTTTATACTAGTCATATTCAATAGATGTAGAAATAAAAATGCATGCTTACATATGGTCGTGCCTATGTTTTATACATGTCCTACTTTATTAAGATTTAACGCGTTGACATTCCTGTGTTGTATCATGTCCTTGTCTATGATACTTATTAGCCTATTGCAACTGCATCCCAACATACTACATAATGCAACTTACCTTTACTTCGCTCTTCCATGCCAAAAGATCAAAGAACTAGAATGTCCGGATGCTATGAGTTAGTTTCTTCAACATACACACACGTGTTCTAAGTTGGATTATATATAATCATGAATTTGTGATGTTAAATTGTGTTTTTTTTTTTTTTTTTTTTTTAGAAGCGAATTTGTAATGTTAAATTGTGTGACAAGAACTTAGTCCAACATGCAATCTTGTTGCACAAAATATAGGTGAAGTTCTGTTCTAATTTATGCATGTAGGTGCATTTTTTATACATATTTTTTTGAGATTTTGTTTTCTCAAAAGGAAAAGAAAGATAAAAAAGAGAGGTCTCACCTATGCAGCTTGCAGGGAAGGAGAGACAGACAACAGACCTAGCCTTTCATATTAGTTAAATGCAAAACATGAGCTTTTAAGTTTTACCATCACACCAAGAAAGGCTCATAAAAAGATTAAAAAAATATCTCAAAATTTAATTAGTTGTTATGGATCCAGGTAGCTGCATATCTGAACCTCTGTGACAATATATAAGCACCACCGGTGACCTCTACAAACTTAATGTAAGAATAAGTACCTGAAATGGATTAAAAGTCACTGTTCTGCAGGCCCACAAACATTTCTGTTCAAATCATGGCATGCACCAAAAGTCCTGAAAGCTCAAAATATTGACTGAAAATTTAAAAGGATAGATATCCTTGATGAAGAAATGGAAACCATCAGCATAATCATTAAATGAATAATAATAGACAGGATATTGCTTGTATCACAGTTCAGTAAACAGTTGGTGAGTATCAGCAGCATTTGAGTCACCAACTGTTGTGATGGAGTCAGCGAGCTGTTGCTTTGCATTACATCAAACAGCCTTGCAGGAAATGTCAAGAGTGGGATATAAACAGTAAGTTGCAAATATAATAGATCTCTTCCCATCGAAAAGGAAAATATTCAAAGCCAACACATAATCACATATTCATCAACTCCAACAACCAAATAAACAATGTAATCAAGGATATTAGCAATGCTTCAAATTAAAGAAAAATGTAGATGCATTTACGCAAGAGAGAAAATCAAAATAAATTGAGGCTTCTGCGTAGCAAGGAAAGAGAAGAAAAGAAAAGAGAAGGGAAAATAAATAAATAAATAAAACTGGAGAGAGAATATTAGCACCAACCATGTTTTATTGGAGACAACTAACGGATAAATAGGCAGATTCCATTCTCAAATACTTCCTCACATTGTTTCCATATAAACAAATGAATCGCAATGACTGCAAAAATTTAATACTAGAATCCTCTGTTATATGGACTATCCTATTTCATTTCACATACTTGTGTCAACACTACACAATATTGATATGGGAATAGGATATGTGTCCAACACATGAATCCAAAAGGTTATCCGAACATTCACATTGCATGAAGAAAAAAAAAAAACCCTAAAATTTAATAGCAGACGTGAGTTTCCTAATTCAAATGCATGTATCTACCCTTATTCAACTTTTGGACCAATACCCACTCTCCTAAGATTTGGAATTCAAGTAACACCTGAACACACGTCCACAACCAAGACACTTACCCAAGTCCGTGTAACATAGCTAGAATCACAATAAAAACATGAAAGACATCCTGCCAGTAGGAGGATGCTATGAAATAGAAGATAGAACTGCGAAGAATTCGAGGATGACATGCTCATGCTGCTATCAAGGAAAAAGGATTACAAGGTCAGGTCTAAATTTAAAGCAGTCAATATCATGCAGATTGAATATGGCAACAAAAAGCAATTTGAGAGTTCTCACTCAAACTTGTTGTACAGCCTTCAATCATTGTGGCCTTAGTCAAAAGGACTAGTGTTTTGGTTACACAGTCAACTCTAGGCACTAACAAACCAGTTTGGTTGACGAGGCTCTACCCTTTAATGCTTAATGACACCAGTATTTATGGTTCGAGGTCTTCCGGATAATACCTGAGGGGTCGAAACCCTTGCTGGGTGTTACTTGGAGGCTGGACCCTAGGGCATTAGGGTTATGATTTTACCAAGCCATTCCCATGTGGCTATTAGGTCAAATCATCCCCTTTTGCGTTAAGAGTGGTGCATTAAATAATTTCGGCTAGTCATTAATTGTAAGGGTGGTTGAGCAATAAATGGCCAAGACGTAGCAATAAAGGTATTTCGCGTGATAGTTTCTGTGTCATAGCATGTGATCACCACCTTTGATCAAGCCCAATATTCGAGTAAAGATTATGGCTTCTCATCCACAATTCCAAAATCCTTCTAAGTGTCCCACATGTAGCTATAGAGAGCTTACAAGCCCTACCTCTATCTTTCTGTACCATTAGTTGGGTGCCCTCAAGGGCTCGTCTTTCTTTGTTCATGAGAGTCCGATATGGTGTCTCAGGAGTTTGGACTTCGCACGTTCTCTTGAGTTTTGGGAGGCCATGAGCTGATGTCTTTACGGCTTTGGACTCGAGAATTGTCTCTCAAGGCTCGGGAAGACCTAAGATGATGTCTTTAAGGATTTGGAATCCAGAGTTGTCTCTTGAGGTTTAGGAGGACCTGAGATGATGCCTTCAAGGTCTTGAACTCAAGAGTTGCCTTTCAAGGTTTGAGCAAACCTAAGGTGGTGTCAAACTTTCTGAACTCTAGAATTGTTTCTCGAGGTTTGGGAGGACATGAGATGATGAAACAGGGTTTTGGACTCTAGTTGTTTCTCGAGGTTTGAGGGCACTTGAGGTGGTGTGTCAAGGTTTAGGACTTGAGCTTCTCAAGGTTTGAGGGACCTAAGTTGTTGTTAGAGTTTTGGACTCGAGGATTGACTTTCGAGGTTTGAAGGGATGTGAAATGGTATTTCAGGTTTTCAGTTTTAGGGATCGCCTTTCAGGTTTTGACTTGTAGGCCTGGCCACGCAGGAAGCGCTTGCTTGACACCCACAATCACCAAAAACCTTCCTACATGGCATCGTGGCCAGCATTGCTTGACTTGTTTAACTCTCAATATAATACCTTATTGGAGGTGGAAAGCAATCCCCATACGTTAATGTAAAACAATTATACCAATATTGTACTATTAATTTCATAACTTTTCTTTGCATGATGCAACATAATGGTGAGAATGCGAACGGATAAAAATTTAAGTGTTAGCCCTGACATGAAAATTACAAGTAAACAAGCATCGTCAAATAAACAGATGGAATAAAACCACCACTTAAATAAATTTAACAGTCAGACATGAGATTCCGACAAAGATTTCTCAATGACAAAACAACATGAGAATTACAGGTAAACAAGCTTTGTCAAATAAAAAGATGAGATAAATCACATTAACCCAAACTAAAAGCAGTTTGATAATGCTTAACCAACACTGATGACAACAAATAAACATGAATTATAGCAAAATGCGGTCTCAAACCATAGAAACAATAAATTGATTCACATTTAGAAATAAAAAACAAAAAGATTGCTGCTACCTGATATAAAACATATGATAACCTAAATGAACAAAACAGAATGCACCAATTGAAACAAAAGGACAAGAGAGGGGCTCCATACCTTACCAAAATTGGAGAACAAATCAGTTAAAAGGATCAAAACACCAAATCCTATACCATAAAGCAGCTAGAAAATGACAAAATAACACGCAAACATATACCCAGTGCACAACTCAAGCTCAAGAACCCTAAAATCTCTAAATCCAAAACTAAAACCCATACAAACAAATACCTGTGCACAACTCAAGCTAAGAATCCTAAAATCTCTAAATCAAGGACAGAAACTAGGGTTTTAATTCAAAATGAAAAGAACAAAAACCAAATCAAGCTAGGGCTTTTAGGAAATGAGTTACTACTATTCAGTCGGCAGAATCTAAACGGTAGAATCTCTGATATTTTCTTCCTCAGACTCGGAAGCGTTAAATCCACCCATCGGCTGATATAATCTCCACACCATCGAACGAGAGTCACAACCCTGACAAACAAGCCCATAAATAAATAGTCATATATATATATACGTATAGGCCTCTTCAGCCTTTCTATAATAAGCTGTCCTGGATTTTGTTGCCGAACTGCCTGTTTAGTTTATAAAATTTATTTGTCAGGATTATAATTCTCGACCGATAAAGATGCAAAAATAATATCAAACAATGAAATGAATGTTTCAACGTTTCTATGACTGAGAAGGAAAAGAAAGAGATTGCTTGTGCTCTTACTTTTGGTTGAAATTGTCCCTACTGAAATTTGTGAATTAAATAAGGAAGGGTGTGTAACCTATAAGATACTAGACTTTTCCTGTGCCTGGAAAAGTCTAGAACATACTAGCAAGTCTCAACACACATACAAATGTAACCAAGTGATTGGGGATGTCAGATCTATCCATCTACCTTTATTATATTGGGTAATGCTACTATGCCGGTTACTGACCGTGAGATAGAAGATTGTGGATCCCCATCACACATGGTGGGCCTCACACTTCCCCAAAGCATCGCGGTCAGTTTGGGCCGAATCTGTCCAAGTTTTTTCTTCCTTATCTATTTGCAATTTTGAACAAATTTAGATAATATTTGTATAAATTCGTTCCGCCTTAAAATAAATGTTATGTATGCTTTCTTTTTCTTCTTTTTTTCTTTTTTAAAATAATACTTCACTTCTTTTTCAAACTTAAATATTTAAAACTTAAAAAGAAGACAAATTAGTTATTTTTACAATGCAAATCATATTTTTTTACTTAAAAATTACTACTCCCCTATAAGTGAAACATAAATTAAGACGGAGGAAGTAGTATGTTTCAAGTAGTTTTAAATTATATATTATATTTATTTAGAAATAGAACAAATTTAGGTAATATGTTTCATGGAGTTTTAAAAAATTATATTATATTTATTTAGAAATTAATTTTTTTAGAAAAAAATGATTTAAATAATTATATATTATATTTATTTAGAAATTAGTGATTTGTTTATATAATTAATTTGTTCTAAATTGTAATTCTAAATAAGAAGATGTAATGTTATATATTATACTGTTAAAAAATTGAATGAATGTTATCACTGCTTGTCACCAAATACGAAAAGAAACTGATGATCGGGCTCGATTTTCATTTTCATTGTCAAATTGGACAAACAAGAAATTGCATTCTTTTTCTTTCTCAACTCAAAAGCAGATCCACTTGTGCAAATGTGTGTGACCTTTATAAGAGCAGATCCAATGGTTTAATTTCTGCTGAGCCCAGAACTCATTCGACCACCCAATCCACTTTAATGGAGGTCGTCAAATTCTGGACACAGATATTGGGCCACCACTGTTTGCCTGATATAAAAGTGTCAAAATGTTTTTTTGGGCGAATTTTTTTTTTTTTTTTTTTTTTTTTCTTTTTCACATTATTGATATTGTAGCAGTTAAGACACTATCTTACTGAGATAAACAGTGTCTTAGAGCATCTCCAATCCAATGCTAAAAGGACTGCCATTTCTAAAATATAACAAGGGTACTTCAAAAGAGGCTCTCCAATTAAATGCTAAAAGTGCTGCCAATTTTTAACTTTGCCAAAACTTTTGCCAATTGTAGCACAAGAAATACCTACTGCTATATCAGAGAGAGAGGCGGTACCTGTGTTGGGATTTGGCATATATATATATATATATTAAAAAGATCATAAAAAATTTCACCAGATAGGATTTAGTTTGCAAAACAAGAATTACAGACCTTGATTAAACCAGAACGGTAATCGCGTCATACCAGAACACGTCCTTTGATGTCAAGAAGGAAGAGAGCAGAGGCCACCCCTACCATGGATTAGTTGATTTAGAAAAAAAAAATTACAGAGAATTACAGAACTTGATTAGTTGATTTAGAAAAAAAATTAAATCAAAAACCCATACATACAAGTTAGCAGTTGCAGAGAGAAAGAGAGAGAGAGAGAGAGAGAGAGAGAGAAGGGGGGGGGGGGGGGGCAATTTCAGAGTTGATTGTACTACTATGATGTCAATTCTTTATACCCTTTCATTATGAAAACCTATGATATGCACTCAAGCTAAGAGGCACGTGGCAACCGGGGAGAGTCAGCCAAGATGAGTTGTACGATTACCACGACGAAGACCAAAAAGCAAAAGGAAAGTGAAGAACGAGAATAGAGATGGAGGCGATTGGGGAGGCTAAAATGATTTGTCCTAAATATATATATATATCTTCAAACAGAGATCAACATAATAAAAACGGAAATTAAAAACCTTAAGTTAGAAAACCAAGTCATGAAAAATGATATTTAGGAATTAAACACAAATTCTGCCTTCTTCTGTTCATACTAACATTGTTAAATCTATCAAACAATATGTTAAGACATTGAATATTATATATGTATATATATAATATACATATATATATATATATATATAATATATAAAAAGATATGGGTTTTGATTTTCTTTTATATCATTTTGTTTTATCTCTTTCTTCTTCTTTTTTTTTTCTTTTTTGACGAGATATTTTAAATTTTTACTTCTTTTTAATTAGGTTTAATTTTAGTTTCCTACTAATGTCTACAACTTGACTTAGAATGTGCCTAATATTAATATTACTGATGCAAATATAAATGGTGGAAATGGTAATTGAAAAAGAATGGTGGTTGTTTCAAAAAATAGCATTTTGCATGAAATGCACCATTAGAGCAGAATTGCTAAAATGTAGCATTTTGATACTGTAGTACTTGTCAAAGTATAAATTTGGCATGCAAAAATTGCTTTTAGCATTAGAGATGCTTTTAACGGCTATATTGGCCCAAAAATGATTTTTTTTCCTCATTTTTCTTTTCTCATCAATAAATATATCAACCCCTATTATCATTAGTCTCACATCAACCCATCTATATTCTCTACTCCATCAACCTACAACTACAACTCCCAAGTCATTTTATTAATCTTAACTATTTTTTTAATACTCAAGTTAAATTCCATGAATCCTCGATCACCATATTACAACTACAATCCCTAAGTCATCCAATAAAACGATGATTTGGAGCCGTTTGATGAATTCTATAAAGGAGAATACCGATTCCCATCTTATTAACCATCCCAATTTTTCAACATTAGTACTGAAGTGGTGTAATAAATTAAAAGGTTAATCATGGTCCACACCCAAAGATGAAGCTTATAATTAATTAATGTTATGCGCGGATAATCATTGGCTCTAATGCGACAATCGATTCAAACCAACATAAGTCAGTGTTATGGGTCTAAATTTATGAAAAGTTTGAACAACATATTAATGGCACGCCTTAACGAAATAACAATGCTTTGTTGAACTGTTGGTCTTTCATCCAACAAAAAAATACTAAATTTTCTGAACGTATGACCTAGTTTTAAAGAAATCTGGTCAGTGGGTAATAAGACAAAAAGTACAAGAGATAAGTTATTTTAAGCATTTACCTTCGAATAAGTTAACACAAATATGTGTGTGTGTGTGTATATATATATATATATATATATATATATATATATATATATTAAAAGATTAAACAAACACATTCGTATACCCATATTTTAATGGAGGCTTGAACATGGAACACCCAACTTTTTTTTTGGGGAGAAGGGCTTATATTAGTTGGATTTTCGCGAATTTGGTGACAACTTCTCATATTACTAAATGAACATAATCATAATGTGTGTGTGTGTGTGTGTGTGTGTGTGTATATATATAGGGTCGCGTAAAAACACCCCTCAAGTATGTTTATAGTGCATATCACACCCCTCACATGCAAAAAACACCCTTCAAGCTTTAATTTGGTGCAATTAAGTCCCTCTGGCATATTTAAAACCCAACTTGACTAAACTACCCTTAGTCAACAATTTTATAAAATATATAAAAATACAATTTTTTGTAAAAAGACCAAAAAGGACAATCAACAATAACCTCTTTGTTTTGGACACCCATTTACAATGCACCACATTCCATCATTTCACAAACCCTCCTAGCCCATAGTCCATCATCTGTCTCGCGTTCTTAACAGAAAGAGACCACAAACCCTAAATAGGGGTGCTGTAATACCCCGATATTTTTAAAGAATTTATTAATTGGGATTAATTATTTTTATTATATTTTTAAATGATTTGTTTTATTTAATTGAGTGTTTAGATTAATTATCTTATTTTAATTAGATTATTTTTTTTGATTATATTTGTTGAATTGATATGGTATTTTGCTTTGCGGAATGGTATGATTGAATTGTTTATTTGATTTGTGTGTATTTATTCTTGTGTGAATTGTTTGTTAATTATTTGTAATTATTAGATTTAATTTAATTATTTTAAATGTTTTATTTTAATTGGATTGGGCTTAAGAGGAGTGGGACCAATGGATGTGGTCTTGGGTTTGAAGGAAGCCTTGTTGGGTTAATTAATAAAGGCCCGTGGTTATGTAATTATTTAAATGATCATTTTTGTATAATTATAAATATATATATAAATATAATTAATTAATAAATGTTATGGAAGTATATATATATATATATATATATATATATATATATATATTTATAATTTAAAAGATAATTATTATTTCTTTTATTTGGTAGCCCTATTATGACTATGATTTGAATTTTAATGTGTATAAATTATACACATAAGGTTTAGGGTTAAAAGGTTTTTACGTTAGAAAATAAGAGAGACATAGAGAGAAAAAAAGAAGGCTGACAAGGAGAATGTCGGATTTGAGAAAAAGGACGCCGGAATTGGAAGAGACAATTAAGGCTTGAAGCGAAGGTTTCAATTTTGAAATCTTTAGGCGAGTTCTTCTCTAACTTTCCTCTTAGAATTCATAAGGATTTCACCTTGAGTATCGATGTTTAGATTAATTTTATTTGCTTAAAAACCATGGTTGAAATGGATTAATAAAAAATATTAAGTTAATTTTATTTGATTAAATTGGAGTATTAAAAGCATGTTTTATTATTATTTTATTTTTAGAATTGTTAGATTTTAATTATATATATATAGGTTGTTCATATTTAAAATCAACTGTTATACTTGATCGGTGACCCAAGAGGATTAATTAGGGTTTTTGGAATTTTCTGGAATTTTTTAGAATTTTTCTAAAATTATTTTATATTTTATGAATATTTATTTTGAATGTTTAAGAGGGCGTCCCAAGGGGCTTGGATTCGGTGTGGGCGTGTGCGTGGTATCATGGTACACACACTAATCTGGTCCATTGGAGTATTTAATTATATTTGGATTGATTCGGTGTGGCACGATACATGAAAAACATGGTGTGCACTCAAATAATGGCTGTTGGATTAAATGATGAGGGGCGGATGATCCAGTGCATCGCGGTGCATGAAGATCTGGTGCGCGCA